GGTGCACATGTGCCATGATGCGTACGCGGAGGTGAGAGCACAGATGTGTGGAGTCAGTTCTTTCCAGCCCTTCCCATGGGTCCCAGGGAGCAATACATAGCAAGTGCTTTTGCCCGCTGGGTCTTCTCACCAGCCGAGAGCTTTTGTGATTAAGCTGGGAGGCTGAGAGGGTGGGGCAGGGGAACATTCTATTGTGTACGCCTCTGTGGCATTGGAGTTCAACCCAGGGCACATACATGCTGTGCAAGCACTCTGCCATTTTGGTACACCCCTGGCCTGTTCTGATAACTGTCTCCATATGGCCTGTTAGTCAACCCAAGAAGGTTGAGAATTCTCTAGGCCCTCAGCATCCTGTGCATCTTTTCACCACCATGGCCAGATCAGTTCTTGTCATGCAGAGTTCTTTTCCATGAGTTTGGTGTGCCAGCTTCATATGAACACAGTGCTGAGGACACAGCCTCCCACGCACACACACAAGGTTTGGTGCTCTAGTCCCCCACATAAAAATCTCTTAGTAGTTAAGGGCTGAAGAGATGGCTCAGTAATTAAGAGCACTTAAAGCTTGGACTATGATGGTCATATTGGGAAAAGAGAATTTGCTAACAAGTCAATCATAAAGAAGGCAGAGGACCCAGGTTTGGTTCACAGCACCCATATGGTGGCTTACAACAATCTGTAACTCCAGTTCCAGGAAACCCAATGCCATCTTCTGACCTCTAGGGACATCAGGCATGTGCACACATGGCACACATATACGTATACATACATGTAGGCAAAACTTTCATACTCATAAAATAATATAAAAAGCATCTTTGTGTATGTACATAATCATTTATCACCCCATATACTTTATTATTTATTTTCTGAGTGTCTCTAGGTAGTCCAGGCTGGGCTGGAACTTGCTATGTTTCCTAGGCTGGCCTCAAACTTGAAATCTTCCTGTGCCTGCCTGCCAATTGTTAGGATTACAGGCATTTGCTACTTTGCTACTCACTCTTCTGGATACTTTTATTTTTCTTTACATTTGTTTATTTGGGAATATGTGTGAGGATCGTGTGCATACTGTAGCACTTGCATGGATGTCAGAGGACAACGTGCTGGTGTCAGCTCTCCACCATGGGAGGGCTATGGAATCACACACAGTTGTCAGACTTGACAGCACGTGCCTTACCCTCTGAGCCATCTAGCTATCACTGCTGTATATGTTTAATCATCTCAAGATTACTTAACATAAAAGTAACAGAAAACAAGCCTGTTACATTTTAAAAATTAGTTACTTTAAAATAAAACAAACAAAAAACCCAAGGCATGGTGGCACAGGCCTTTAATCTCAGCACTCAGGGGAGGCATAGGCAGGTGAATTTCTGTGAGTTCGAGGTCAACCTGTTCTATAGAGTGAGTTCCAGGACAGCCGAGATTGTTGCACAGTGAAACCCTGTCTCAGAAAAAGAAAAAAAAAGCAAAAAACAAAAGACATACATCACTATGTAGCCCTAGCTGGGCTAGCCTCCAACTTAGAGATCTGCCTGTTTCTGCTTTTAGGGTACTGGGTGTAAAGGAATGGGCCACTGCTGGGCAGTGAGCACACCTTTAATCCCAGCACTCAAGAGGCAGAGACAGACAGGTGGATCTCTGTGAGTTCAAGGCCAGCCTGGTCTACAGAGCTAGTTCCAGGACAGCCAGAATGATTACACAGAGAAACCCTGTCTCAAAAAACCAAAAGAAGAAGAAGAGGAGGAGGAGGAGGAGGAGGAGAAGGAGAAGAAGAAGGAGAGGAGGAGGAGGAGGAGAAGAAGAAGAAGAAGAAGAAGAAGAAGAAGAAGAAGAAGAAGAAGAAAAGAAAGAAAAAGGAATGAGCTACCATAACCAGTTATATCAATTACTTTTTAAAAAACTGCTAATTTAGAGTAAGTGTAGGTCTCAGAGCTGGGACAAATGGCTAAGGTGCCTATTAAACATATCAAAGTGGACCTGGCCACCAGGTTGTCCTTACCTGTTACACGGTATGACTGTCGTACCCATCCCTTAACCTGAACTCTCCAGCACAGGGACTGGGCTGCCCTTCCACCAGCAGCTTGTCCTTATACAATCCAGCCATTTTGGCTATGCCTGCCCTTTTTACCCTTTGCCCTCCTAGCCTCTTGGTCTCCTGCCTCTCCCCTTCCCCATACCCCTTTCCTCAAAGGCCTGGCTCAGGGTCACGTTCACTCTGGACTCTCCCAGATGTCTCTACCTCCGGTTATGCTGTCCTTCATATTTACAAAAAAGTTTTTCCAGCTGGGCAGTGGTGGTGCACACATCTTTAATCCCAATACTTGGGAGCCAGAGGCAGGCAGATCTCTGTGAGTTCGAGGCCAGCCTGGTCTACAGAGCGAGTTCCAGGACAGGTTCCAAGCTACAGAGAAACCCTGTCTCAAACCCTGCCCCCCTCAAAAGTTTTTCCCCCACCATACCTAGAAAGAGTCGTGTCCTCCTTCTTTATTTCTTTTCCTCCACTTACAAATCGAAACAATATGGAAAGGGTGATGCCCTGAATACATAACATTCAGTGAAAAATACATGGGGCCGGGGAGATGTCCCAGTGGTTGACAGCACTTGCCAACGGTCAGTTCCCAGGACCTCTTGGAGATTCACAGCCAGCCTCAACTCCGGCCCTAGGACATCTGATGGCCTCTTCTGACCTTCATAGGCACCAGGCACACACATGTTACAATACATACATGCAGAAAACACATACACATACATAAAGCTAAAAGAAAAAATTTAAGACATTTGAGACAGATATGTGTTTTTGTTTTTTTTTTTTTTGTGGGGGGGAGGGAGACTCAAGACAGGGTTTCTCTGTAACAGCCCTGGCTGTCCTGGAATTCACTCTGTAGACCAAACTGGCCTCGAACTCACAGAGGTCCATCTGCCTCTGCTTCCCGAGTGCTAGGATTAAAGGTGTGTGCCACCACCGCCTGGCAATATGTGAGCTTTTAATATAGCACTTGGGGATCTGGGGTAGGACAATTGCATGTTTGAGGTTTGGACTATGATGGGAAGATTGAGAAAAGAGAATTTGCTAACAAGCCAGTCATACAAAGAATTGGATATACACAGAGAAAAGCACTAAGGGGATAAAGAGTGCAGGTACTGTAATTTTAAAATGGGTAATAAGGGGGGCCCCACCAATATGGAGACAGTTAAACAAGACTAAAAAGAGATGAAGGAACAAGCCACTGAGGTATGTGGGAAAGGGCTCCTCCAGTAGAGGATGAAGTCACACAGAGTCCTTGAAACAGAAGCACAACCAAGAAAGCCAAAAGGTGAAGGTCAGACAAGGACCGAGACCAGAGGAGAGAAAGGTGTGGGTCAAAGAGAGAAGTCATAAAAGCGGGGCTTTGGGCAAAGGTAGGTTTTGAGCCAAGGGTCGATGTGATCATAAACCACATTCTGGAGGTGGCTGAGTGATAGGTAAAGAGCAGCAGGTGGGGAGATAACCAGGAAGCCCATGCAATGATCCAGGGCAAGGAAGAAGGATCCGTGGTGGGTGTAGCTGCAGAGGCAGTGGGACAGCCAGCTTCTGGGAGGACACGTGTGTTTGCCCACAGACGGTTGTGGGAGATAGAAGAATAGAATCAAGAGCAACCTCCAGACTCCCAGCAGAGCTGTCCTTTTCCAAGCTAGCTGTGGCTGCTTCAGGAGGGTATAATAGAGGGAACCACATCTAGTGTCCATCAGACGTCTGGCAGAGGTATAAGACGGCAGTAGACAAGCAAGTCTACTTAAAATCAGAGGATGGCTAGGATCGTGTAGGAAGGTAGAGCTGGAGGAGAAGTGACATTTCAGGGGGGCCCTGAGTCACCAATCTAGCAACCCATGGCTGAGCAGAGAGGAGGCTGCAGTTGCTGAGATTCAGGAGAACCTGAAAGTGGCTTGGGAACAAGACTATCATTCATATATATATATATATATATTTGGTTTGCCTGTTTGTTTTTGAGACAAGGTTTCACTATGTATCTCTCGCTGTTCTGTTCTGCAAGTTACTATGTAGACCAGGCAGGCCTCAGAAATCTGTCTCTGTCTCCTGAAATACTGGGATTAAAGGCATGTGGCATCATGCCTTGCTGCTTGCTTGGTTTTTGTTTGTTTGTTTTTGTTTTTTTGTTGGTTTTTTTTTTTTGAGGCAGGGTTTCTCTGTGGCTTTGGAGCCTGTCCTGGAACTAGCTCTTGTAGACCAGGCTGGCCTCGAATTCACAAAGATCCGCCTGCCTCTGCCTCCCAAGTGCTGGGATTAAAGGCAGGCGCCACCACCGCCCGGCCTGCTTGCTTGCTTTTTTGAGGTAGGGTCTTGATGTGTAGCCCAAACTCATCATTTTTCTGCCTTTACCTTCTGAATGCTGCCATATGGTGCATATGTGGAGGTCAGAGGGCAGCTTGTGGGATCTGGAGCGGGCTCCCTCCTTCTACCATGTAGGTTCTGGGATAAAACTTTGGTCATCAGTCTTGGTGAAAGCACCTTCACCTATGGACTCACCTTGCTGATCCTATTATTTCTGTTAACTTTCAACAATGAACATAATTAATTACTTCTATAAAAATTCTTCGAGTTTTTTTTCTAGTACAAGGGCTTTAAGCATACCAGGCAAATACTGTGCTCATATTCCTGAGCTATACTCCCAGTGCTCTTTTCAGATTTTGAGACAGGGCCTCCCTAAGTTACCCAGGCTGACCTTGAACACATGCTGTAACTTAAGCAGGTCCTAAACTTTAGATCCTCCAAATTCCCAAGCAACTGGGCCAGGCCTGTGCTCTCAGGCCCAATTTATTCAAGAATATTTCAAAATACAGTTTGGGCTAGGTGTGGTGGCCATGACACTAAGCAAGCTTTCTCAAGAGTGGCTGAGGTGGCCCTGTTACTGTCCAGCCACAATTCTCAGAACCATGGGTCCTAAAAATTGCCACATAGACCTCTGATACAGTGTGATTCCATACTTCTTGGCCTAGATTGACAGGTATACTAAATAGAATCTTTTTTTTTTTAAAAAAAAAAAAAAGAAACAATAGTTTATTATCATCACAGGTGAAGATCGACTGCCTCCCCAGGTGCCCCAGCCTTCCTGCCTGAGCCTGGGGAGCTGCTTTGTGGTGGTCCCCCATGTTGGGGTAATGTCCTTGTTCATCTGATTCCAGTTCCATTGCTCCTGGCCCAGGGCTAAGCTCCACCTCGAGATGCCATTGGTATGCTCTCCTCTAGGCGACTGTCACCTCCAGCATCTGAGAAACCACCGCCTCCAGAAGCTGGGGCCACGTCCACTTGGATGACACCATGTACTTGGGAGAGCTGTGGGCTATCCAGACTGGCAATGAGCTGGCGGGGGCCTGGTCGCACAGGCACAAATGTCTGGCGCAGTGTGACTGTCTCGTTACCCCCGATATCCCTGTAGACAGAGACAGTATCATGAGCCTTGAGCAACTAAGGGTAAAGTCAACAGCAAACATTGGCCCAGAGTGGCCAGGAAGGAAAGAGCAAGAGGTGGGGCCATCCAGGCATTTCTGGGTTCAGCTGGAATCTACACCCACAGCCCCAACAGAGTCTCCACCCCAGGCCACCTCCACACTCAGCTGTCTTCACTAAAGTCTCCCCAGCACCTGGCCTCCTCCACTCCTGTTCCCACTGAACAGAGACTACTAATAATCTGCAGGCAGGCAGCAGCCTTGGCTGCTTTTATTACTTTTGTTTCTGCTGCCCCTGCTGTAAACCACACCACCTCACAAGGGTTTCAAGGCCCAGGGAACTTTAGAGCAAGACCTGGAGGCCCAGCCAGGATCTCAAATGCTGTCAGTTTTGCCAGAACAGCAAGCTAAAGAAATGGGACACAGTTGTCCTCATGAGGCACAGCTTCATGTACTAAATTAACAGAAGAATGTTATCCGTGGAAAAGGTCATCCCAATGTTTTTGTTTTTGTTTTGTTTTGTTTATTTTTCAAGACAGGGTCTCTGTGTAACAGTCCTAACTGTCCTGGAACTACCTCTTGTAGACCAAGCTGACCTTGAACTCACGGAGATCCGTGTGCCACCACTGCCTGGCAGACAATTGACATTTTTAAAATGACATACTCTCATATCTGTGTGTGTGCTATGTGTGTGACCCTAACACCAGTGTCGTCCTTTCCTCAGGGAGCTCTGAAAATATATTCCCAGAACACCTCTGGGAATCAGGATTCACTGGACTCACCGGCCATCTCACCTTTCCTCTAGTCTGCTAATCTCTGGGAAGCGAACTAAATCCCTCAAGGGTTGGGCTTCCTTGGCACTTCTGAGAGAGAAGTCAACTCCCTAACCTGCCATACAGGCTCATTCTGACTCAGCTCCCACCGGCACAGCTGCATCACCCCCACCATCCTTCCTCTGGACCAGCCCCATGGAGCTTGCTCAAAGTCACCTCCACCATGTTCTGACCTGAGCTCCGAGTTCTGCCAACTTCATTCCTACTCTTTCTCCAAGTCCTGGCTCACAGCACTGCCTCACAAGGGCCCCCCTGAGTGCCTTCTGTCCCCAAGAAAATGAACCTTTTTTTTTCTAGGCTCTTCCTTCAGTCTACATACTTAACTCTTTTACTTACAGGATCTTTTAGAAAGGGTCTCATGTAGCCCAGACTAGTCTCAAATTTACCATGTGATGGAGACAGGCCTTGCATTTTCAACCCTTGGGTCTCGGCCTCTCGAGTACGATAATTACAGGTATTTATCACCCCACCAGATGCAGTGCACGTTAAATAGGAACACGGTTCATTTATATGGAGTCAGCTCATGACTGTTAGATTACCTCCTGATTCTTCATAAACTTGTACTTCTTATTCCCAGTCCAACCCAAGCTTGCCTTGGGGTCCCCCTTTTTGGCACTAAACCCCACACAGTAGTTCGCCAACGGAATGAGCCAGCATCTCTTAATTCTGAAGATTAGGGTTCTTTGGAATGAAGCACTTAGCTTGGAGGCTATTTCTGAGGTTTCCCTAGACCAGTGTTTAGGACAAGTGACTTCTTTGGTCCTCACTTGCTGGTTCATAAGACAGAATGAGTACAAAGTGAGATGATGTGACTGGGTGGGTGTCATGATAGGAAGTAAAAAGTTAAGTCTATAATTCAACAGGTTATGCTTTGACTGGCTAAATATTTGTGTTCTTTTTTTCCCCATTTCTCTATAGATGGAAGGTTAAAGGTTGCTTAGTCTTACAATAACCTTCAAAAGTCTACTATAATTGAGTTGTGATATTTCAGAAGCTAACTTAGATTACAACCACTAACATTATTCCCACCTCCTCTTAACAAAACCCTGCTCTCCAGCTTCCAGGTAGGAATGTCAGAATCTTCCCTAGCCCAGGAAACGTTCTTATAGCCAGGTGAGGCCCTTGCCACACCCCTGTTTTTGAGTTTGAGCTGAGAGCAAGTCAGCTGCAAAAGCTGGGATGTCCATTAACATCCCAGCTGGTTGGTAATAAAACTCCCTTTGGCCTCAGCCATCCCAGATCTCTTTTTCTTCCTCCTTCCCCTCCATCCTTCACAGGCCTAGGTGCATGCACCCATGTCCCCTTTGTGGTATGCATAATTTCTAAATGATACAGACATTATTGTCTACTTGTTTGTTTTCCTTGGTAATTAACTTTAACTCTAAATCGCTTCAGCCTTTTTCTTAAAGCTAGCTGTACTCTTAGCAAGTGGAGAGTAGTCACTAGAGCAGTCACTAAAGTTGCCAGAGTGTGATTCTGGTTCTGGGGGAAATTCCCAAGAACTTCCAGCCTCCCCGGTGACACAGCCAACCGGAGGAGTGAGTCCTGGAATGTTTATTAAGTGGCCAGTCACCAGGCTAGGGTGGCACACCTTGTGGTATAATTGGGTTCCATACCACAGCCTTTGATGTGTAAATGAGAGGCAAAGGAACACCCATCTTGGAATCTGATATATCCCCTTGAGGCTACCAAGTGTCCTGGAGGCTCTCTGCTCTAGGATTGTAGCGACTAAGAAGCAGCAGTGTGTTCAAGGAAGGCTGCCAGACCAGGCATCACCCAGCTCCTGCAGTGGAGACCTTGATTGAGAGGGTGACGTCAGGATGCCATGCAAGCCCTGCACACAAGACAGAGGCCCGCTCTCCTAGCACCTAGCACAGTGGCCCTGTCCTTCTAGGGGGAGCATCCCAAGAGTCAAAGACCTCGCGAGCCTGGCAAGGGTGTATGCCTCTAGGGAGCCAAAGATGAGATTCCTTCCAGTGTGGTGTGAATGCAGCTGACTGATAACCCTGGACACATCTTACCCCTGCCATCTGAGCTGCTAGGGACCCTTGTAGGGTCTACTTGGTGCTACTCTGTGATATCAAAGCCTCTGAGTCCCAGGCTAGGCCAAAGAACAAGGCCATAAAGGCCATAAACTCACCTTTGGCCTGATAACAAAAGTCATGGCTACCAGCATAAGGTATGAGGGGAAAGGCAGGCTAGGTAAAGGCCCTCTCACAGCCCCTCTCTTAGAACAGGACACCCACTCCTATCAGAAGAAAGCTGGTTTAGAAGATCTGCCCTCTCCTTCCTGCCATGCTTTTCCTGGGAGGGATGAGCAGCAAGTGTCTGTGCCAGGTGACAGCAGCAGGCACAGACCATGAGTATTATGGTCTCATAATACTCTGGGCCTCACCAGGCCCAGAGCCGCACCAGTGGGGATCAGATCCAAGCTGGCTGAGGGCCCAAGAGTCAGGGCTCACTTCTCTCTGAGAGAGGCTCTTCTGTTCTCATGGCACCGACCATTGAGCAAGCCAAGTGTCTGGTGGTTTGTGCTCCTGAAGGGGAAAGAGAGCCTGCCTGCCCTTATGAGCTGTGCAATGAGGCTTAGCCATTCACAAGGTGGGGCAGTGAGGACAACGATGAAAAAGTCGCTAGTAGTGGAGACTGACTATACCACATGCTGGACTAACCACCCCGGAGGCTTTGCTATCGTCACTGGGCTTAGATGAATAAAGGCACCTAGCCAAGGAGACCTAGTCAGGAGCATGCAGCAGGTCTTGAACCTAAGCCTTTGGAGTCCACAGCTCTCCGTGTAATTATATGAAGGTCTCTAATGTACTTTAAAGGGCCTGCACAATCTCCAAATGAGATAATATTCCTGAAAGTGCATGGTCAACATTTCCATATTTACCAAATGTCAGGGATGGGCTACTAATGATTCCCATGTGAGCTTCAGCTCCCTAATTAGAAGGTGAGGCAGGGCAGGGACATAGGGCAACACGAGGCACTCCGCAGGTCTTGAATACTGGGCTGAATTGACCTGAGTTGCCAGAGACTGCTAGCTGGCCCCAAGGTGCTCTGTGGGGTCCTGACCAAAAAGAGAAGCAAAACTGAGGCTCGGGGCAGCCTGGGAGGAAAAGAGGTGCTGTAGCAGCAGCGTCAGAGAAGTCATACTCACCCAACGTTGAGGACCTTGGGTCTCTGTAACCCAGAACCTTCAAGCCGGAAAACGACGTTGGTGAGGGTGGTGGGCAGGGGGTTCTTGAACACAATCTGTACTTCACATTCCTGGCCAACTACTGCTGCTCCCAGTAACTGAGGGAAACAGAGACCTTATCAGAGACCCTGACCAAACATGTACGGCCCATACTTTACATCCAAAGGAGAAACATGTTAGAATTGAAATCTCGCCAAGCCCCACATTTCTGTCCCTGAAGGAAACCACCTAAACTATCAGGGAGGAAACTCATATCCACTCTACACCTCGAGGCTGCCACAGACTCAGACCTGAGAACCTGTTTTAGAGATGAGGAGACCAAGGTCAGGTCTGGTCCTTAACCTCCTAGGGCTCATCAGGGCAACTTGCTTCAGGCTTGCCTGTGATTTCCCTTAGCCTCAGGCTCCTGTTCTCAGTCACACTCACCGTGAGAGAGAGGTCTGGGGTACGCAAACGGAAGGTGTGCTGCTTGGCTAGCACCTGCCCACTTTCCTTGACGTGACCTGAGACATTGAGCAACATTGCCCCCTGGTCCACGAGGTGGGCCCTGTATTCCTTGTAGGACACAGGCATGGTCACAGAGTCCGCTGGGAAGAAAATGCATAGCAATCACAGGCCTTTCCCCCCAAATCCAGTCTCCTAGAAGTGCTCCCTGTTGCTATAGGGCCTCCATGTCCAAGGCCAAGGTGCTTGGACACTCAGAGGCAGGGCTGGGGAGGGAGCACTATCTAGGAGCAGGGTTAGGGAGAGAGTACAATCTAGGGGCAGGGCCAGGGAGGGAGCACCATCTAGGAGCAGGGCTGGAGAGGGAGCACTATCTAAAGGCAGAGATAGGGAAGGAGTACCACCTAGGAGCAGGGCTAGGGAAGGAACACTTACAGGCTCCTGGGGCTAGTGCCACTTCCTTCTTGGTCTCCTTGAAGGTAGGCCCAGTGACACCAGTGTAGTAGGTAACAGAGAGGTAGAGGTGCAGCTTTACGGTGCGGCGGCTGCTGCCACGATTGGTCAGCACCACGGAGACTGCCAGATCCTGTCCCATCACAGCGTCCTGTGCCTCCACCTGCATTGCCACGTCCTCAGCAGAGTCCCGGGTGGAATACACATTGGGTTTGCTGCCATGGGCGGCAGCCTTCTCCACAGCCCTCCGCTCTGCTTCTGAGCCTGAGGGTTGAAGTCATTGGTGAGTTCAAGTCATTGCCGGGGTAGGCCAATGCTCTTCAGGAACCCTCAGCCAGGAGCTGGCTGGCTGGACTGGAAGAATGTTACCTTCTGGGTGCTTATAGATGTGTGTGATGTCTTCCCGCATATTGGAGCTGATTGCCTTTGTGACGATGAGCGTGCCAATGGCTTTTTCCTCCACATACACAATCTTGAAGCTGCCATCATCCTGTCGCTGCCAGTATACCTTATCACTGTTAACCTGTGGGAGAGCAGAGAATAGCAGGGCTATAGTGGGCCAGGAAAACAGGCTTGACCCCCAGAACCTTCTTTCCTCAGCCCCAGGAGCTACAGGCAAACTGAACCAGCCATAGTGAAGGAGCAGGGAGGAAACTGGTCTAGGAGACTCCTTGTAGCCCATTTTGGCATTAATAACAGTTTTCCCTTATGGTTATTCGCTGGCTTTACAACTTATGAAGCAACCCCATATCCATTATCCCTTTTGATCCTGAGTACAGGAAGCAAGGCAGCCATTATTAATTATCTCCTTTTTACAGCTGAGGAAACTAAGACTCTAGAGTGAGTGACTTGCCCAAGGTCACACAGCTAGTCAGTCAGCGGTGAAGTCAGGACCAGAGGACTCAGGACCGAAGCCAGGGTTCTGGTTGCTTCAGACTGCTGAGGAGGCACCTGGAGCCCAGCCCTCACCTCGGCGAAAATGAAGGGCGTGTCATACTTCATGTAGACTAAGCCATTCTTGATGGACTCCACGGAGCAGGGGCCACAGCAGAAGATTCCTGGGAAGTGAGGCAGGTGACGGGTCTAAGGAGGCCCAGAGGCATTGTGGGAGCGGGAGGGGTCAGGGACAGCCCGGCTAACAGCTGGACAGACAGCCTCACAAGCCAGGTTGTCTGCACGCCCTCTGCACTGGCTGGCTGCTCTGCCTACCATCCGCAGAGTTCAGGACCCCTCCCCCAATCTTTCCTCACAGTTGTTTCAGGGCCCACATTGGTTCTGGTTGGCTGAGAGAGCAGGATGCCACCATCACTATTTCAGAAACACCTCCGCTGTGCAACGCACTCTGACCTCTTTACTGGGAAGCGAGAAGGGTGATGGGAAAGAAAAGACTGTCTTTATTGTACTCAGGAGAGCTTCTGAGAGGGTGAACTGGCTGCAATAGGTTGGCTGGGACAGAAAGTGCAAACAGGAATGAGGGCTATCCAACAGGAAAGGATCCTAACACCTATTGCTCAGGCCTCTTCTTTCAGACAGGGAAACAGGCTCAGCCAGTGAGGTAGCTGCCCTGTCTTATAAGGCAGCTGGAAACAGCTTCTATTTACTGAGTGGCTATACTGTCGAAGGCATGCTACTAGTCCTCATTGATACATGGAGTCCATCCATCCACACCATATGGTGTATACACACAGTATTCTATTCAAGAACATGACACACAAAGATGCTTCCTTGCCGATATCACTTGTCCAAGAAGTAACCATGGTAGACTTAGGTCCTAGCCATTCTGCCCAGAGCCCCTACCTGACATCTACCCCATTATTTCTTAGAGCTGAACCAGAGGTCAAGTTTCCCGGCACACTGCAAGCATTGCTGAGTTATGCAACCCAGAACCCCTTTTACAGAGATGATTGACAGGGAGTAGTCTGAGAAGTGACCAGAAGAAGAATGTAAGTTAGGCCAAGGCTATGTACTCTAGGCAAGGGGAGGCGAAGAAGCAGCTGGTGGGACAGGTCATGTTACCTGCAGGTAAACTGAAAGTCAGAGGGAGAGGAGGCTGTGAGAGCAGAGCGGACATCAGGTATCACTTCTATGGAGAGTAATAAGAGACAAGCTGCTGACAGATCACGTCACCCCAGGTCATGTCAGGGTTATAGAGCTAATTTCTTTTAACCTGTCTGAGCCCTGACTTCTGTATACTGCACATGTATGCAATGAACAGGGGAACAAAAGAGAGAATTAGGGTTCATTCTCCTGGAGGAGACTGAGACAAAGTCATAATACCTACAAGAGTCATCATTTACCAGTGTCCCATTGGCATAGGATGGGTTCCAAACATGGGGGACCTTAAGAATCACCAAGGGAATTTTTGAAACAGAGTGTGAAAAACACGGGTGCAGCCCAGTAGTAAAGACTTACTGAGCATGTTCAAGGCCCCAGGTTCAAAATCAGGACTGGGAAGAAATAGATACACCCATCCTTGGAAATTCTGATGGATCAGTTTTGATGATCAGGATTTAGGGTGGGAATCCCCCCCCAAATAGAAATTTACTTTATAAACGTCTAATAGAAAATAAATAACTTTTACATCTTATAATATTCAATAATTCTGTTTTCTCCTTCCATGTACGGAGGTCATATTACTTATAACCTTTTCTTCGTGTGTGTGTGTGCTGGGAATTGAACCCAGACCTAATTATGACTTTTCAGACATATACATAAGTGTGTGTCCTTTAATTAATTATATCTGGAATATGTAAGTTAAAAAGCAAGTAAGAATAATTGGTTTTTCAGGGGAAAGGAAAACTCTTACTGAATGTTCTTGAATCTTCTCTAACTTTGGAACTATCTGAGTGTATTAATCATTATAAATTATAAAATAAAATGAAGTCAAATAGCTATATGAAGAGAAGAAAATAAACTAATGGCTGCATAGTGGTTCAGGTGCTAAGTTCATGTGAGGAACTGTGGGGTCAAAGGGTTTGGCTCTCCAGCCGAGACTCGAGGGGGTGTGAGGACAGGGTCGGGGCAAGGCCTGCCTTACCACTGCTGGTCTCCTGGGGTGTGGCATCCACAACCTGCCACCCGTCAAAGCCTGAGGGCAGATCTGGCCTCTTCATCCAGCAGTCATTCCACACATGGAAGTTCCTAGAGGGGCACAGAGTTCCCATTCAGGTTTTCCCCAGTTCCCATCCCTACCACGGCTCGGCATCCCAGCCTCAGACCATCTTCATCTTTAGGACAAGTGGCAGGCCATCCCTCACCCTGTGCTCACCAAACGGAATCGTGATTCAGATGCTCAAGTGGCTTCATGTTCTCATCAAAGTAGATGTCCATAGTGAGGGACGTGTCTGTGTCATGCGCGGAGTTGAAGTTGGTGACAGTACGGGTAGCAAGGCCCAGGCACCGCAGCACTGTGGAGGAGCCAGGGTTAAGAGCAGGGGCAGAGGTTGGCTGTAGGTGTGGCATCAGCAAGAGGGAAAGGGCAGCTGAGTTTGCCAAGCTTGGAGGGACCACCAGAGTTAGGGGTCAGAAGACTCAAGTACCTTTGGGTTACAAAGCCACCTGCTTGACTCAGGCCCTGACTATTGCTTCTTCTTTCTATCCCTTAGGCCTCTCTCGGTTGTTAACACTAATTAATGATAATTAAGGTCATTCTATCATCCACCCTTAGTGGCACCCTATCCTGTAGCACAGCTGGGCTGGACAGAAATGGAACCCTTCCCTCCTTACAGAGACCAGGCTATTCCTGACCCGTTCCCTCTACTACCTGTGGTCGTAACACCAGCAAAGACCCAGCACTGGCCGTAGGGGACAGAATAGCCGGTGCGTAGGTAGCTAAGCAGGATCTCCACGCTGCCCACCCACGCTGAGGGGTTGGTGCCTCGAGAGTAATCGCCAGTCCAGTTCCCAATCAGGACTCCATTGTCATCCAGGGAGTTCACCTGCCCAGGAAAAGATAGGGTGTGGCTGGGTTTGGGGAGGTGCTCAGGATCTTCTGGATTCCCCAGCCCCTAACCCTGCAACCTCAAGAACTACACACCAGCCTAAACTCCACCCACTTCCCCCCAACACACCTGCCCCCCACGCCCCTTGCTGTAACGCCAGAATGTGAATACTGGGTGTGCCAAGTTTGGGGCTTGGCCCCACATTCCAAAGGAGCTGGAACAGAAAGCATGAAAGGTGTGGTGGGGTACAGGCAGGGAAGGGAAGAGAGGAGTGAACCCCTTTCCCTCACCCTCAATACTCTCTTTAGAGGGGAAAATCCATAAAGGGCAGGGCAGGAAGACACAGAAAGGGCTTACAGATGTAAGAGTGCTCACCATGGCAGAGATGACGCGGCAGACACTGACTGGGTCCCCCCGGCCTCCATATGGCATTCCCCTCCGGTCCAGGATGTACAGACAGGCATCCAGCACCCCGTGATCAAACTGGAAGGAAGGAGGGTAGAGGTGACCACAGCCCCTCAAAGTGATGCTCAGACCATAGGCTAGCATCCTGCCCAGTCCACCACGTCCCTCACTTACATCTCCCTCGAGTACACAGAGGCCCAGCCCAGTCATACATACCTGGCCATAATTCCAGGTCCGTTCGCCAATCTGTGCTTCTGTCCCATAGTAGATTCTTCCAGATTCATTAAGCACATATTCTTGCCGCCAGTCCTCGTGGTCCACGTACACCAAGTCCTCTGTATCCCCAAAAGCACAGAGCAAATTCTATCCATTTTCTTCCTGGGTCCTACCTTCCCCTTAGCCAGGTCTACAGAATCCATAGCCACAGAAGAAGGTGGGGGTGGGGATTCTTCTAGCCTGACAGGACTGCTCGCTCTAAGGAAGGATGGTGGGAAAGAAGGTTGGCTGTGGCCAGGGTCCTTCATCGGAATAAGTGAGGTGGGTCTCTTTTCTAGAGTGGGCCTCTATCTCCTCTCCTGAACAATGAGTGTGGGGTGTTTTTCCCTATGACCGGATGTTCAGGCACCCATCTGGATCCCAGGAAAGGAAGCCCTGACCTATTTACCCTCTGCTCTTGACCCCAGCTGGTTTACCTGGGCACCAGGGGTTGAAGAGGATGTAGAGCTCATTGCGGGGGTCAAAGGGCAACTGGAACTCTCCAGCTTCAGAGCGTGTGCGAACAGTGAGTTGAAATTTGCCGATGATGGCATTAGGGGAGGTATGGACGCGCAGGTTTACGTTGTGTCCACTGGTCTTGGTCACTTGGGCCTTCCAGCCATCACTGCCCCCTCTGCCCACCGGGATGATCACGTGGGTACCCTTGCCCACTTCAGGACTGTTTCCTAGAATAACAAGGTCAGCATTTAGGTAGTGAGAGAGCTCCTGGAAGCGGGAGAGACACCAAGACTTCATTCAGCCCCACCCAAAAGGTCTGTGAGCCAATTTGTATGTCCCTAAGTAGGGTTACCACATCAGCCTGTGACAATCTCCTCAGAGCAGCATGGTGGCCGCCCCATGCTCTCCTGCGTGTCAGGGCAGAGCCCCAGTCCAACATCCCAAACCTGTTCCCCTGACAATGAACTCAAGTAGGGAGAGGACACTGGGGCCACTGTCACCCTCTGACTCCTGCACTGTCCCACTGAACTGAAGGGAAATTAAGTTGGGTCCATTTGCCCCATAGGAAAGCACACTCCGGATACCGAGGTCAGTGTGGCCTGCTCCCTGGGGTCATGGCTTCGAGAGCCCAGAGCATTTCTGGAGGTGGGGGGGGACTTGGGAAATTAGAGGCTGGGGCATACATTGCTGGGCTCTAATCAAAGGGTAAGAAGAGTCACCCGCCCCCAGCAGCTGCATAATCACCAGCCTGGGCAGTCAACGGTCACTAAGCAACATGGTGAAGGAGGCACCTGCCTTGGGCCATGGCATGGACAGGCAGAGAGACGGGCACATGGGGGCTAGGCAAATGAACGAGCAAGACCCAGAAAGAAGGGCACATCGAGCCAACAATGATGAAAGACAAAGAGGCCAGCCTGAAGAGGAAGTGCTGTGTGGTAGCTGCCCCAGGAGCCTTGAGGAAAGCCAGCCTGGGCAAGCTGCAGCACCAAGGCCTCTCAGGGAGCACCACTAGGGGAACACGGAAGAATCTTGCACCTGCCTCTTTTGGCAGAGGAGGACTGACAGGGAGGAGCCTAAAGACCTCTTTAACCTAACACTAGCCTTTCCTCCAACAAGCCCTGGGCCTTTATCCTTCTCATTCCAGGCCCAACTCACCGATGAGAAGTTCGAGGGCAATGCGATCAGAGGACTCATATTCTCGGTTCAGGATGAGGACCATGTGGAAGGGCTGCCCACGGCGCACAATCAACTCATCATACTCAAACTCATCCGTGTGGTGCTCTCGGCGGTTCTGGTCCGAGCGTGAACACAGTAGATCCACACCAGTCACAACCAGCATTCCCTCTGTAAGGCCACATTCCTGGGTCAGTGAAGAGTCCACAAGGAGCCCAGACCACCCCCAGAAATCCTTCAGCCCTGCAGGAGATGCCAGGATAAATCTTAGACCCCCCCCCCCCCATCAAGGCGGATAGCCTCACCTCGGATGGTGCCATCTCCAGCTGCGTTCACAGCACTGCCCCGAGACTCGGGTCTCCGGCCGCCCCGGGAGCTCGACCCTCGGCTTCTGGAGCCAGAAGGTTCAGGCCCCCAGTCATCATCAGCTCTGTTCCCGCAGGAGCAGCAGCCACAGCAGCGAGCCCAGAAGGAGCGGCCTCCTCCTCGGCGGGAACGCGAGCGTCTGTCTGGCTCTGGCTCCGGCTCCGGCGACGGGGTGGTAGGGGGCTGCCAGGGGTTCCCACCCCAGCGGCCCATGTCTGAGCGAGGACCTTCCATTGTGCCTGCGAAGAAAAGACCAGGGATGCTCTAACCCACTCAGCTCTCCTGTACCCAGGATGTCCGTCCCACTCATCCAGAAACTCTTCAGATAAATTGGTTCAGTACCAGCTAGGTGACTGAGATAATTTTATTCTAACCCAGAAATGCTTCCAAAGACCCCATTTAGTCACCCAGAAAAAGCACCCCACACTGCAGAGAAAAACCTCTTCACCTTGCTATAGACACTCTCAAATCTCATCCCAAAACAATGTCCAGTGGAGAAACCCTCGAGGATCCACCTGAGGAAATGCACTGTTCCCCAAGTGGACACCTGTCTCAGCCCCAAATCCCGTACTGGTCCCTCCACCTGCTGGCTTCTCAGTTTAGAGGTCCAACCTCTAGGGCCATTTAACAGAGTTCTTCCCATTAAGACAGGTAGGTGGATTGGGAGGCAAGGTCCCCCACATTCCTCACGTCAGGGCAAACTTCAGGCAGAGTTGTAGCGAGGGCACAGCAGGCTTAAGCAGAGCGGCCCCACGAAAACCGGGTCTCAACCCACAGCAGGTGCACACTGACGAGCGTTCCTTTCTGAGTTTGGGCCGTGTGTCCCACCAACGACGGCCTGCTGTGGCTCAGCACTGAGGTAGCCGCCCGAGCCTCTCACCTGGCAGCGGTGTTGGGGATGGCACCACTGGGTCCCGAGCCCGGGTGGAGCAGGTCAGGGCGTATGGGACGGGACCAACAGGCTGGACGCAGGCACGCGAGTGGAAGGTGTAGGGCGGGCCGGGTAAGTGGCTTATGAGGGGAGGGGAGGCGGGGCAGAGCTTCTGGGAAAAGGGGTAGGAGGGTTGCTTCATCCCCTGTCGGTCAAGAGGCCAGTCTCTGGGGGTTGTCCCCAAGTAGGGGCGGAACTTTCTCCTTTCTAGGAACTGAGATCATGCTAAGGAAGGGGGTCGGGTCAAGTCCTGTCAGACCTGGGCCTGAGATGAAAACGGAAGGTTTTCGGCGATGAACCCCACACCAACTTGACTCTTGCCACATCGCACGTTCAGAGCGCATAGAGAGGGGCTCCTCTTTCACTCTCAGCCCTGTAGGGCAGATTTATTTCGGAACTGGAGACGCTTGCTTAGTTGTGGTACCCAGCAGGTTTGCTTGTGGAAATGGTCTCTGGGCCTGGAACTCATTTTTGCCAGGAAGATTCCAGTACCCCAGACTGCAGACAGATGACATCAGCAACCAGGCCTTCAAACTGGCTCCACCTGCCAGTCCCTGACCAGCCAGCTCTACCAGATCTTCTCACAACCCTCAGCTACTGCACGCCTGTCTCTCCTTCCAGCCGCTCCACAGCCCCAGGGATGAGTGGAGCTGTCCCACACTTCCTTCTGTCTCTTAAGTCTGAGATTAAGGTGGTTACAAAAGATCCCAGCTTGGAAGTTTAGGAAAGGTTTAGGTCTGGGCGGACAGGGGCCTCCTCTCCAGGCTATCTGGTATCCCCATTTTTCACTGTGAGTGTCTTGGCAGTTGGAGGCGAGCATTCCCCCTTATTTCTAAGATTCTTCTGGGGAATCCAGACCAATCAGCTCCAGGAACCAACCTTCTGTACTTCCTGACTCCGGCTCTGGGAGGAACATCAGAGAAGTCATTAAGACAGCCACACGGCAGAGAGGAGCAAGGCATCTTTAGGGAGGCTCTCCTTGGATCTCTTACTCTATCACACTGGTGTTCCAGCTCTACCAAAAGGTCACCAATCAGAGGACAGTGAAAACAGGGTTGGCAAAAAAGACCCAGAAGCAAATGCATCAACAATCTGTTTGGACATGTATCCCGCACAGAAGTATCTTGGGGAGCAGGAACAGAAGCTCCAAATCTCCACCCACACTTTTTGGTTTGTTTTGAAATGGTTTGCCAGATAGCCCACAGGCAGATCTTGAACTCATAGCAATCCTCCTGCTTTAGCCTCCCAAGTGCTGGGATTACAGAAGAGGGGGCCCACAGACCAAGCATCGTGTGGGTTTTTCCCTGTTGAGCTAGCGATTGCTGGAACCTAGTAGAGGTTTTGCGCCACTCCCAACATCCTCAGTTTAAACCTGAGGAAATCAAAATTCAAGGTCGGTATGTGGCAGGTCAGCCAAAGGGCTTCACCGTGAGATTGTTTTGCCTATCACTGTGGATACGAGAAGAGGCAGCGCTTCAAGGGGTGGGGTATGTGAGCACACATGAGCCCAAGCAGGTCCTAGAGAACCAGGAAAATGCCTGGTTTGCCAAACTCTTCTTTTAATCAGTCATCCTCTCTCCCCACTAAGCCAAGTTTGACTCAGTGCCCTAACCCCTGAGCCACTCCCTGGAGGCCTTGCACCCTGTAGCTTTCAAAGCTAGCACACAGTGCAGAGCGGTGTGGGTGCACCTCAGTAGACTCCTATCTTAATATCGCAGGGCCAGGCAGAGCTCTGTTTAATCATTCATATTAACACAGAAACAGGAAAAGAAGCTAAACCACTAAAGCAAGGTGTTTAGTATCTGGCTTCAATACACAGCTTAGCGACCTTGGGGAGTCGTAGCAGTCTCTTCATGAATTCAAATGTTCTAATCTCGCATCCCTGAGAGTGTATGAGGATCTAATGGGATCGGGTGATCCCAAGGACCTTTCAACCATAGAATGTAATTCACAGGGACCAAGGTTGCTTCAATAGTGTGGAGCAAGGTGCACTGATGCAGTCTTCCAGAAACTGAGGCCCTGAACCTCCTCAGTTGTGAATAAAGTGAGAGTTGGGGCAGACAGAGTCTGAAAGCCGCAGAGGTCACAGGAGTTTTCACGACCTCTTCCAGCTAGAGACAGCTGTTCTGAAGCTCAGCCCACGTCAGAACCTGATCCCAACTCCTATCCTAGCCTCAAGTTTGGTTCCAATGGCAGCCCCAAACATGGAGCTGGACTCAAATCCAGTTCTGGTCCCAACTTCAGCTGTAAACACTGAGGTTCCGGTCCTCCACAACAGGCGAGAGCAAAGCTGAGAGTATTCCAGCAGAGTAGACCCACACCCCACCCCAAGGCCCTTCTCTCAAAAAGCACGGTGATGGTAACGGAGGTAGTGGCCTAATGGCAGCAGTAATGGTAGCCCGGCAGCCTAGAGCGCCTCTCCATTTTTTATTCAGTCCCAATAAGTTAAAGGGTAAGGGCGAGGGCAGGGCCTCCTAGGTGAGGATACTGCTGACGGAAGGCAGCATTTCAGCCAAACGCTCCGAGATGCCCCGTTCCTGGCACAGTGAGTTGCCCTGCAGGTCGAGGAGGACTAGCCTGGGGCAAGAGGCAAGAGGCTGGAGAGCTGCAGTCTGATGGAGGCCTTGGGCAGGAGAGTCAAGGAAAGCTCAGTAGTTCTACCCACCCCGATGCCTGCTACTGACACCCCAAAACTAAAGGCTGCTGCTTGGAAGCACATTGGATGGTCTCTTATCCATGTCCCTGGAGAGAAAAGAAAGCTCTTAGCAGAGGCTGGAAATGTCTGCCTAAGGAAGGGTTGTGGGATCATCAGGTGTGGATGGCTGGTGAGTGGCACTTCCTATCCACAAGGGGCTTCTGGGTCAGAGGGGCTCTACCCTCCCATTTTCAAGAGGAATCAGAGTTCACAATTTTTAAAAAATTTGGAACTTCCTGATATCTAGACCACTATGTGGTTCCTAAGAATCTTACAGGTTGCCTATCTCTGAACCCTGGCTTAAGAAAGTTACACGTCACAGAACTCCAGAGCAAAAGCTAATAACAGCCCCAGACAGTACCAGGCTATCATCTCCCCTAGGTTTACCCTGCCCAAGCCCTGCTTCCTGCCCTGCCTTGAGATGACCCTGTCTGTGTCTGCGGTTTGTCCCTCTGTGGCCTGCTCCTCACCCTATGAGCTGTCTGCAAACCCGACAGAAGGATACGGTTATTGCATAGTAACAGCTCCTGCAGCCGGGGAAGGTTGGTCACACCATCCAAGGACTCTAGGGCATTATCATTGGCCTGCAGCACCTGAGGAGCAGGGAATTGGGGAGGCACAAGGTCAAACAGGCAGCCTGAGACGGGTACAAGCCATGGAGGAGCCCAGAGTGACCAGCTTAGGTATGTCAAAAAGCTCAAAGGGCCAGACTGGGTGGCAGAGAAGGCTGGGAAAGAAGTTACCTTCAGGAGCCACGAGGTCCTGGACATTGCTGTGACATAGACAATCTCCTGAGTGGAAAAAGAGGAAGGGGCCACCCCAGACGGCAAGGGAGGATGAACATTTTACCTCAAGACAGCGCAGAGCACCCAGGGCTGGGGGCAGAGCTCGGAGACGGTTATGCGACAGGTCAAGATGGGTGACTAAGAGCAGCTGCTCCAGATGGCAGAGCACTGTCAGATCCTAGGAGCAGGGGGAGGGGTGGGAAACTCAGCAAGAGCTAGGAGGTCTTTCGTCACCTGTCCTATGTTCCATATGGACCTCAGAAGACTCTTGCTAGAGCCCAGCAGAACGTAAGAAGCACACAGAACAATGCATATGAGCACAGGCCGTGTCAGGAAAGGGACAGACAAATGGCTACGGTGGGATGGCCGGTGGGAGTGGACAGGGAGAGGAACCCCAAGTGTGGAAGGGACCGAGGAGAGTGGCATGTCCTACAGCACACAGGCCTGAGGGGGCTGCAGTGAGGAGGCACGACTGATTTGTTAAGAGGTCTAGGAAGACCTGGCGGTGGTCGCACGCCTTTAATCCCAGACTCAGGAGGCAGAGGCAGGAGGATCGCGGCCAGTGAGTTTGAGGTCAGCCTGGTCTACAGAGAGTTCCAGGCCAGCCAGGGCTCCAGAGAGAAGCCCTGTCGCAGACACACATGACTAGGAAGGATGGGAAACAGAAAATCTCTGCAAACCGTTCAGGTTTCAGGCTTGGGGGCCCTGATCTAGGGTGAGAAGCACGGGGAGGCACAGCACAGTAGTGAAGGGTCTTCTTATGTTGTTTTTCAGTAGTAGGAATTGAACCCAGGGCCTTCTATACATTGGGCAAGTGATCTACCAATGAGCTATATCCCTAGTACAGCTTTGATGACTCAGGATTCAGAACCAGGGAATATATAGGATGCTGAACTGACTGACTGAAAACTAAAAATTAAAAAAAAAAAGCAAGATCTAACAAAGGAATAGACCAAAAGAAAGATGATGGGTTCAGCCTAGTGAGGAGGAAATGTCTAGGAAGGCACTGCAATAGAGCTAGAGGTGCGGCATGGGGACAGCGGGCAGAGGCCTCGGGAAGGACAAGTGCTGAGCACATACCTTGTGAGCCAGGTGCAGCACGCGCACCTCAGCATACTCCATCCTGAGGACGCTGTTCTCCAGCAGGAACTTGCTGCGTAGGTCATCCAAGTACGCGGCTCTCATTGGGTCCACAGCCTGGTGGAGACGAAGCAGATAGTTAGGTGGGTCCGCTGTCTTCCACTCGCCCACCTGGCCTCCCCTGGCCCGTTCCCCAGGCCTAACTTGCTTTGAGGGTGTGGAAGTATTGCAGCGTCTCTTTCTCATAGAGGAGGGGGTCCAGGGCCCGCATCAGCAGGATGATGGTCAGCAGGCACCCTGGGGAGAGGGCAGAGGAATCTTTACAGTCTCTCGAGACCCCGTCCTCAAGGAAGTTCCCTGGGCAGGTTTTCTCGGCGCGGTTCTTGGGAGCTGGCTCAGGGGACGTCCTCACATTTATTCTCGGGCTCCAGCTCCTGCAGCTCCTTACAGGACTCAAGCTCAGATTGCAGTACTGTGGACTTTTCCACCGACAGCTCACACCTGAGAGTGGGCAGGTTAAGGGGGTGTGCAGCCCACAGTTATCAGGTCCAAGCCACCCTCCTTCCCCAGGCCCAGGTCTCCCGTCCCAGCTGCCCCATGTCTAGAGCCCCTCTCTGGCCACGGGCTCCTTCATCACCTGAATAGCTGCTCATCGGTGGCCGAGTCCCGGCACCAGCACTCCTGGCGACCTAAGGGAAAGGGGACAGCGTGAGGAGAGGAGCGAGAAGGCCGAGGAACTGTGTGGAGCTTTAAGCAGCCTCACCTTTGAAGAGCACACACTCCTTCTGGGCATCACTCGCTGTCCAGATGACACGAAACGTGTGCTGCGGCAACTGGTCATTGAGAGAGGTGGCGGGCAGGTCGCACAGCTGGGAGCATCGGGTCAAGGAAACGTGCCGCCTCACCGCCATTCTGACTGTCCCACCCTAGCTCTGTCCCAAGCCCTCATTTCTGCCCCATCAATTCTGGGATACCCAGACATGGCTGGGCCGGTTCCTGCCATCTGGAGTCCTCCACTCCACACTCAGAGGTGCCTCATCAACCATGAGCAGCAAAGTCCCCATCCTGGAGCCCACCTGCTCAGGAGACAAAGAGAGACTCGTTAGCTCTAACAGCCGCAGACTCAGAGTCCCATGATGCCTTTAGTAAAGCCACTTGACTCACTATTAGGGGACGAGAAAAGCAGACTGACAGACAGGCCTCATCCCGGCTCACATGCAGGCAGCGCAGAACGTCCTGCGGCTCCGCTGGGGAGAGAGACAGCCTGGTTCGTCTTAAATCTTCTTCCTTCCCTTCTTAGGCTCAAACACCCTCCCCTCTCCCCACGGCTTACCCCGGCCGAGGAGCCAGCGGTGATAGAACCAGGCACTCTGATCATTGGGGTCAGTAAAGAAGGCATTTTGCACCAATTCCAGCTCTGTGGGGGTCAGGGAGGCGTGAGGTTTGTGAGCATGCACGTAGGATCCTAGAGCCATCCCAACAGCTCTCCAGCCCTACGCTCCACTTGTACCCTGGCCTTACACAGGCATCACATGTATCAGTTTTATTTTTACCATCGGATACCTGAGCTCCTTGAAGCCAGGAACTGAGTGGCATGCACACCCCAAAGACCAGGAAGAAGCTGAGTAAGGCAGGCTCAGAACAGGGTTGGACAGACACCAGGACTGGGGTGGAGCAGCAGAATCCTTACCAGGATCCCCTAGGCCAGTGGTTGGTTCTCACCCTTCCTGAGGCTGTGACCCTTTAATACAGGGCCTCATGTTGCGGTGACACCCCCCACCCACCACCACAACCATAAAACTATTTTCATAGCTACTTCATCACTGTAATTCTGCTACTGTTAAGAATTGCAGCGTAAGGATCTGTGTTTTCTGATGGTCTTAGGCGACCCCTGTGAAGAGGTCATTCGACTCCCCCAGGGGTTGGGACCACTACTCTAGGCCCACTTACCTTTCAGCAGCACGTTTTCAGGGAGGCGTCCCTGTGGGCCCGAGTCTGGCTGGGGGTGCAGCTGGGGCAAGAGGCAGGAGCGGTAATGCCAGGAGGAATAGTTGGAGAAGTTCCGGGTGATGAGGCTATCAGTGAAGGCTAGCTCCTCCGCAGGCGCTACAGCAGCCTGTGCAGCTACAAACCGCCGATAGTCCCAGCAATGAACTAGGGGTGTTGAGGGGGAGAACCTATCTCAGGAGCAGGACAGAGGGGAGCTGCCCCACTGAGAGCCCCAGCATCGCCTCAGCGAGCCCTAAACCACACAGGCTCCATCTGGCTCCACCATCCTTTTCAACACTACCATAGTGGGTGTTGGTGCTGGGTCCTACACATCCCTCCCCACTCTGGGCCTTAATGAAGACCCAGTATCAGCATGTAGGGCACGTGAGGATGTGGGGACAGGGCTGTGAACACTTACAGTTCCGCTCATCAACTTCAAGGAAGCGAGCACACAGTTCCAGCTCTCGGGCCCAGTTGGGCTCAGGCAGGCGGCTTAGAAGCCAGCAGCGGTGGTGCCAGGTGCCATAGGACTTGGGGTTCACACGCAGACAGCTCTCTAGGAAGCCTAGCTCTGCTTTCACAAGAGCATCCAACTCCTCAGGGGACCTGCACCACAAGAGAAAAGGAGGCTAGAGCCTTTCAACACCCAACTGCATCTTCTCCCTCCCTCCCTGCACCTGGGCCCCCACCATTCTATCTCTATGCCCCAGGTTACCCCATTCCTCCTCCAGC